TGTGTGTTCTCAGAAGCGTCGCCCCCGGCCGCGGCTCGACCCCAGCATGATCAGCCTCCCGACAGACTTCCGGCACACGGCGCATGTAGGCAGCGGGGATGTTAGCTCTTCTCCCAACGTCAGTGTAAGTGCTGGCTGATTTAGGGTGGTGGTTTGCCGGGTGGTTGGCGGGTGCTCTTGTGTGGTTTGCTACTTCTTTCCTATCAAACGTCTGTCGTCTTTATCTCTCCTCCTTCTTTTTTGTGTATGTTACTCTCTTTTGTTTTCGGGGTTTTTTTTGTTTTTTTTGTTTTTTTTTCTTTTTTCAATAAAAAAATTACTTATGTCTTAAATGGTAGTCGAGATATTTGCAATTGAAGGAGATGGGGGTCGCTTGAGTTCAGAGATAAAATTAGCAAGAAAATGGCCGCCAAAGTTTGGTTACTTCCAAAGCCTGAGTGTCCGTGGAAACTGGGAATTTACATTTTTCCTGCCTTTATTGAGCTTTTTTTCGGGATAGCCCATTATTGTTCTTAAAAGTGACCATATCATAATTTGTTTTACCATTAACCCCTTCACTGCTGAAAAATCTCTATTAACATCTGTACCTACAAGATTAAATGTTAATTCAAGGAATATTTAAACACAGAGAAAAAATAATTGTTTCAGAATAAGCAAAATCACAAGCTGTAACTAAAACAACTAAAACTTTTGTCAACCAGATGAAACAATATGAGTGGAGAATACAAGCCAGAACCTACGCCTACCCCGCAGTGAAGAGGTTAAGAGTTGTGCGGTACATGTACCAATAGGCCATTCAAGTCCCCAAGATTACAGGTGTTACCAGTCCAGTAACATATAAAGAAACTGGGAATTTACATTTTTCCTGCCTTTATTGAGCTTTTTTTTCCGATAACTTTAACACAGAAGTGTGTTTTTAGATGGATATATCAGAAGTTGTTGAGCCGAAAAACAAAAATTTTTATAGAAATTGCCGGAAAAATGCTGGTTTCTTTGATTTCATAATTGTGAGGAGCGCCTGATTTCACCACGATTCCTCACGGTAATCGTGGTGTCGTAGAAGGAAAGAAATTTGTCGTATGCCCTCGGGTGATGTCAAGTCTTGTTCTGGTCGTCCTCAGCTCCATTCCGTGCAGAACCAGATGTCGTCCAAGGGGGATTACTCCGACTACATAGCCCCCGGCCACCTGCAGTTGTCTGTCATAGATCTACCCGCCCGTAGCCCGTCATAGGTGAGTGGTTTGTATTTGTTTGCTTTTGTTTTTTGTTTTCCCCATTTGGTTCCAGAACTGCCGATTTTCCTTTCCGCAACCCTACTATCGTCATTTTTCTCACTTCTTTTGTATGTTTGTCACTCTCTTGTGACCCGCTATTTCCGGGGTGCCTTGATAGTCGAAGCAGACCTTGTGCTGTTGAGGCTAGAGAGGTGAACAGAGTAAGCCTGATTCCCTGTAAAGACTACTCTGTTGGCGTCCACCCCTTGGCTCTCATATGACCTTGTGCAGTTGCGAGCGCCGTAAAACCTCTACTAAAACAAAAACCATTTTCTGCAGGAAGATTTTTACCCTTGTTTGTGTGTGTTTCTTTATATGTTGGTGAGTCTGAAGGCTGCCGTGTGGGTGGTTGGTGGTTGCTCTGGTGTGGTTTGTGCCTTTTTTTTTCCTGTAAAAAAAATCCATCGTCCTCATCCCTCCTCTTTTTTTGTTGTTGTTGTTGTCGGGGGGGGGGGGGTTGGTATGATACTCTTGTTACACCTCTAAGTGGGTGGTTGGCAGGTGCTCTGTGTGGTTTGCTTCTTCTTTCGTGAAAGAGGAGACAAAAGCAGACGACAGAACATTGTTATAGAGTAGGAGAGGATGTGAAAGAAAATTTTAGAGAAGGAAATGTTCGCGTCGCTACCCGGATTCGAACCCGGGACCTTTGAATGAGAGGCGGACACCTTAACCTCTAGGCCACGAGAGCCCCCATTATTATTTTCCTTTTCTTTTTCCGATCCAGCGGCCATTTGGGTTCTCGCCCTTCGGTCTGACTGACCATGATTGTTTTAAAAGTTCAAAATTTGGTCAACTTTTCTCTGCCAAAGTTGCTCTCATGGGCCACAGCAGAAGCCCAAAGAAGTCATCGTAACTTTGAATTCTTCAAGTTCTTCTATTTCACTGGAGAAATATTCTCCTCTGCGGATGTATTGGTCATCATCAGACATTGATTTAACAAACTGTTATTATTATCATTATTGTTATTGTTATTTTCTTTAAATTATTATTATTATTGTTTTTATTATTGTTAGTAGTAGTATTGATGTTATTATTTTTGTTATTGTGAATGTTATTACTGTTATCATTATTAGTAATTATTGTTTTCGTTACTATTATTGTCGCTGTTATTGTTATTATTGTTATCATTTCTGTTGTTACTGTTATTATTGTTGCTGTTATTATTATTATTATTGTTATCATTTCTGTTGTTACTGTTGTTATTATTATTGTTGTTGTTATTTCTGTTGTTACTGTTATTATTATTGTTGTTGTTATTGTTATAATTTCTGTTGTTACTGTTATTATTGTTGTTGTTACTGTTATTATTGTTGTTGTTGTTGTTATTGTTATTATTTCTGTTGTTACTGTTGTTATTATTATTGTTGTTGTTACTGTTATTATTATTGTTGTTGTTGTTATAATTTCTGTTGTTACTGTTATTATTATTGTTGTTGTTCTTTTCTGTTTTGCAGAGCCGGAGTCTTTTTGGGTTTTTCTCCTGACTGAATGCAGGCTGGCTTTTGGTTCGTTTTTCTACCTAGGAGACTTTTTTTTCTCTACTCTCCCTGTCTGTGTTTGATGACGCAGGCCTGCGAGAGGAAGGTGAACGAGAGAAGGGTGATCGCGGTGAACGAGAGACGGTGACTGCGGCGAACGAGAGAAGGTGTCTGCGGTGAGTGAGAGAAGGTGTCAGCGGTGAACGGGAGATGGACCGGACTGAGCATATATATATATGTGTGTGTGTGTGTTTGTGGATATGACAGTATTTTACGTAGTACGACTTTTTGAACTTGATATAATATATATATAGACTGGACATGACACTCTGTAAGTAACTCGTGAAAAAGAGTGTGTTGGATTACGGACTACATGTTAGTTTGAACGCACTACTGTAGAAAATGTGTTGATTTCTGTGTTAGTTTGAACGTGCCTTTGTAGAAAATGTGTTGAATTATGTGTTAGTTTGAACACACTGCTGTAGAAAATGTGTTGATTTCCGTATTAGTTTGAACGTGCCTTTGTAGAAAATGTGTTGAATTATGTGTTAGTTTGAAAATGCCACTGTAGAAGATGCCAGGGAAAATGTTTTGAATTTGCAACTGGTTTGGTCATGCCATTGTATAAAATTGAGAAAAAATTGTTGAACTTTGAATTGTTTGAAAGTGCCACTGTAAAAAAAAAGTTGGGGGGGGGGGGAGAATTGGTGAATTTGGTATCATTTTGGCATGTCCCACGGTATAGATTATCATAAAAAAGTTGTCGAATTTGGAATTGTTTGAAAGTGTCACCGTTAAAAAAAATGTGAGGAAAAAAAATTGTTGAATATGGAATTGTTTTGGCATGCCACACGGTATAGATTATGATAAAAAAGTTGTTGAATTTAGAATTGTTTTGGCATGCCACACGGTATAGATTATGATAAAAAAGTTGTTGAATTTAGAATTGTTTTGGCATGCCACTGTATAAAAAGTGCGAAAAAGAATTTGAATTTGGTGTAGTTATGATGTGTGCGTCTGGGGAAAAAAAATGGGGGTAGAACTTGTTGCAGTTTGATCTGGTAATGGCAGGCTACTGTATAAAGTGGGAGAAGTGGATGGTTTGGCGGGAGCTCTGGTGTGGCTTGCTCCTTCTTTCCTATCAAACATCTATCGTCCTGATCTCTCCTCCTTCTATTTTGTGTTTGTTACTCTCTTGTGACACCTCTAATCTTGGGCACTTGTATGACCTTATTGTGTTGCAAGTGCCGTAAAACTCTTACTAAAACAAAGTGTGGGAAGGTGTTGTTGAATTTTCCCTGGAGAGAAGCTTGAATGTGCCTCTGTATACTTTGTTTGCCTCTGTATACTTTGTGTGCCTCTGTATACTTTGTGTGCCTCTGTATACTTTGTGGGGGAAAAGAGATATTGTTGAACCACTAGGGCATGCCTTTGCGGAAACTGTGAGAAAAAAAAACAAGCTATTGTCTGAGATATAGATTCCATGTGCCACTGTATAAAATGGGAGAGAAATACTGCCGGAAAATTGGGTGAAAGAAATACTGCCGGAAAATTGGGTGAAGGAAATGCTACCGGAAAATTGGGTGAAAGAAATACTGACGGAAAATTGGGTGAAAGAAATACTGACGGAAAATTGGGTGATGGAAAATTCGGTGAAAGAAATGCTACCGGAAAATTCGGTGAAAGTAATACTCTGGGGAAATTGGGTCAAAGTAATACTGTCGAAACAATCGGTGAAAGAAATACTGTCGGAAAATTGGGTGATCCGCTTGTGTCTGACTACACCATTGCACCCTTGTCGTGAACCGAACAGATTTTTAGGTTCCTCACCCATTTGGCTGTCTTTTCGGAGATGGACATTAAAATGTCGGAGGTCTCAGCTCTGAAATTATAACCTGACACAGTGTTGAAAAATGCGGTAAATATATAAATTTATTATATATATATATGTACAATCTCCCAGATTTTTTTTCCTCCACGTGTAAAGATTTGCGTCGTGTCCAGCCTGCCCCGTTCTCTCCCTTGTTTCCGCCGTTGCGTATTACAATCCCATGAGCCTTCTCATATATATATATATATATATATATACGGCCAATGTTATAAACGTGTATCATGTAAACACTGTCACTGTCTCGGATGAAAGTACGGGTGGTAAAAACGTTTTGCGACCGACCAGGGTTGAAATTTCTGTAGACGCAAGTTTGCGTGTGGTTGTTTGGCGGGTGCTCTGGTGTGGTTTGCTCCTTCCTACTTTCCCTCCCAATCGTCAGTCGTCCTGATCTCTCTCCTCCTCCTTCTTGATTTTGCGTGTTATTCTCTTGTAATACCTTCTGTCTGGGGTTTTTGTTTTTTTTTGTTTGTGGGGGGGGGGGGGGGGGTTGTTTTTGGGGGGTTTTCTTGCAAATACTGCTTCTTCTTTCCTATCAAGCATCTATCGCCTGATCTCTCCTCCTTCTATTTGTTGTGTATGTCACTCTCTTGTAACACCTCTACTCTTCGGCGCTTACATGACCCTATGGTGTTGCAAGTGCCGTAAAACTCTTACTCCAACCTACAGAAACTTGCAGGTGTTCCTACAAGACCCCAGTGACATCCGAGGGTCGCGCGCGTAATTCTTTGCTCCTGATGTGGGTGGTTGGAGGGTGTCACTGGTAGGTCCTACTTCTTGTCTCTCCCTCTGTTGTTTCTGTCTGTCTGTGTGGGTGGTTGGAGGGTGTCACTGGTAGGTCCTACTTCTTATCTTTCCCTCTGTTGTTTCTGTCTGTCTGTGTGGGTGGTTGGAGGGTGTCACTGGTAGGTCCTACTTCTTTTCTTTCCCTCTACTCTGTTGTTTCTGTCTGTGTGGGTGGTTTGAGGGTGTCACTGGTAGGTCCTATTTCTTTTCTTTCCCTCTACTCTGTTGTTTCTGTCTGTCTGTGTGGGTGGTTGGAGGGTGTCACTGGTAGGTCCTACTTCTTATCTTTCCCTCTGTTGTTTCTGTCTGTCTGTGTGGGTGGTTGGAGGGTGTCACTGGTAGGTCCTACTTCTTTTCTTTCCCTCTGTTGTTTCTGTCTGTCTGTGTGGGTGGTTGGAGGGTGTCACTGGTAGGTCCTATTTCTTTTCTTTCCCTCTACTCTGTTGTTTCTGTCTGTGTGGGTGGTTGGAGGGTGTCACTGGTAGGTCCTACTTCTTTTCTCTCCCTCTGTTGTTTCTGTCTGTGTTTTCCCTTTCACTAAAATGACCATTATTGCATGGATATACATATATATATATATATACTTCTCTTTACTCAAACAAGCGGAGATTTGCCCACGATGTGTGTGTGTGTGCGTGCACATGTGCGTGTGTATGTGTGCGTGCACATGTGCATGTGTGTGTGTGTGTGTGTGTGCGCATGCATGTGTGTGTGTGTGTGTTTGCCTGCATATGTGGGTGCGCATGCATGTGTGTGTGTCTGTGTGTGTGTAAAATGATTCGGTGATGTAATCCACAAGTGCCTTGTTCCACGTCCAGACTGGATGTGTACAGAGTCAGACAAAAACTGTTTGGGTAGAGTGGGGACACGTGCCTGACTTTGTGGCGTGGCTGCCCTGGATTTACAAAGCTCTCTCCGCTCACTCAGTGCCTGGTTTGTGAGAAAGATTACGTTAAAAGTGGGTGGGTGGTGGGTGCTCTAGTGTGGTTTGCTCCTTCTTTCCTATCCAACATCTATCGTCCTGATCTCTCCAATTACATGGAAAGGAACTGGCCACCCTATGGCATATGCCGAAGGCCCAGGAATTTGTCTCACTAATAAGGCAATCCCCAATGTCCGGATCGGATGCGGGAACAACTTTTTACTCTGTTGTAACACCTCTATTCTTCGGCACTTATATGACCTTTTTGTGTTGCAAGTGCCGTGAAAACTCTTACTAAAACTTTTTAAAAACTGACGTGAAAACTTTCGAGTTTCACAATATGTCAAGCTTTTTCAAATGCAACTCTTTGAATATCTTGATAACGACTCCGAATAATCTCACGATTTTGATAGAGCAGATAGAACGGGGTTTTTTTTCTGACTTCCTGGTCTGTGTGACTCAGAACGTCCAAAAACGTCAGATAGAACTATGGAGGTCTGAGGTAGCGATGTGTCTTGACTTGACTGCTGTAGCGATGTGTCTTGACTGCTGTAGCAATGTGTCTTGATTGAGGTAGCGATGTGTCTTGACTTGACTGCTGTAGCGATGTGTCTTGACTGCAGTAGCGATGTGTCTTGACTGCAGTAGCGATGTGTCTTGTCTTGATTGAGGTAGCGATGTGTCTTGTCTTGATTGAGGTAGCGATGTGTCTTGTCTTGATTGAGGTAGCGATGTGTCTTGACTGCTGCAGTGATGTGTCTTGCTGTCCCCGTCGTTTTATGCAAGAAAAATTCTGAAATTCTGCAAACAGCCCAAAAAATGTGAAATTATGCGATTCTGTTAATTTCAGCTAAGAGTGATAAAGGAAAATAGTCAGAAATTATGCAAAAATTGATCAAATTTTGCTCAATTATGAGGGGTGCAGGAAACCACGGGGACAGGTCTTGACTGCTGTACGGTGTGTCTTGACTGCTGTACGGTGTGTCCTGACTGCTGTACGGTGTGTCCTGACTGCTGTACGGTGTGTCTTGACTGCTGTACGGTGTGCCTTGACTGCTGTACGGTGTGTCCTGACTGCTGTAC